ACTTTTTCTAAACTTTTCACACTGATAACAGTGAGGTCCATTTAAGTACACTCCACTGGAATTACTGGCCTTAGTAGAAACTAACGGACTTTAATAAACCAGTCTGTTCTTCACATTCGGCTACCTCCAAGCACTTCTGAGGTCGTGTTACTTACTGCACAGATATACCATCAACTGCTGAGGTTTATTTGTACAAGTTCTGATGAAGCATTAGTAGAAAAACTATTTTGCTTCTCCCCAAAGACAATTCTTTCCCACCTTCAGGCAGCAAAGTAACATTTGCTGAATTAAGCTAACTCTTATAAAATTTTACTGTAAATATAACCCAACACTAGACTGGATTTCAAAAGAACACCAGAGAACTTACATGGAGTTCTGAAAGATAAGACAACTACCCTCTGCAAAAAAAGTCTGGAGCTGCCAACCTGATAGAAAGCAAGGTCTGGGCTGTAGGGGCACTAGCACACCCCAATGCATGTATCACAGGTGGACTGTATAAAAAAAAAAAAAAAAAAAAAAAAAGTAGCACTGTGCTAATACGGACTCTTGATTTGAGATAGTCATGATCTGCCACACAAAGGCCTTTGTGTAGGCAAAGAGGGGTGAGGAAATGGTTCCTCTTTCTTTACGATACATGGAGACCCAGTTGGGGTAAAGGGGTCCACCATGTCTTCCTTCTAAGATCTCAGAGCCAACAAATACATGGGGAAGTTTATTAATTTTTTTCTTAGAAAAAATTTTTCATGTTTTCCTGGTGTTACAGGTTAACTTCAGTACAGATCTCACTTCACACAGAAAATTTATTTTTCTCTTGCTTTCCTTTTTATTTTTAATTTCTTCCACTTCCAGCCACTCTCTAAAATTTTAGTCACTTTGGAATTTGTAGAAATGCTGGAAGTGATTATAACCAAGTGTCCTCTTGGTGAAATAAAAAGCAAAGAAACTGGGGGGCTGCCACTAACATTGACCCTCAACTTGAAGCAACCAAAATCACAAAATGACAACTGCAACTCCAAGTCTAAAACAGTCTACAGAGCACAGGTACCATCTTCCCAAAAGAAAGACTGGGTAGAGATAGGGAATTGGGTTTCCTTACTTTCTTTCTTCCTCTTTTTTTTTTTTTTTTAAGGAAAGGATAAATTTTAACCTTAAATGAAAAGTTTGATTTTGACTACTATATATACTAAAAATATCATTTATATACAGTTAAAATACCCCAACCATAAGGTACTGGTGTTATCATGGCACCAAGGGCTTACTCAAAACAAATCTTCCCTTAGAAATTATCTTTTTTAAAGTTTACTAAAGTAGCAAACCAAAGCACAAACATTTCTTGCTTTTTACTAATAATTTGGTAAGTTTCCATGAGGTCAAAATGAAGAAATATAAACTAGACAGGAAACTTACTTAAATATGTAAGAGGTTCAAAAACATATCCAAACTATACCAACTAATAATGTGATAATCTTAACTTAGACTACTGATCTTCTGCTCTTAATATTTGTATTAAAAAGAGACAAAGAATGAGAAAACATGCTAATCAAGTATGTGGATATAGGTCATGGAAGCAAGGAGAAACAGTTAATAGATATCAAGACTCAATGCAACAAGAGCACAAACCATTAGGATTAGATGACACTATAATTAAATATCCTTCATTGTGCTTCCCCTCAAAGGGAAAGAATGAAATGGGAGGAAAAGCTGGCCTGAGAACAATTTTTATGGGAGAAAAAAAAAAGAAAAAGAGCTAGTTTCTTAAGTTTTTTTTTTTTTCCCTAATTTATTTGACAGAAAGAGAGATCACAAGTAGGCAGAGAGGCAGGCAGAGAGAGAGGGAGAAGCAGGTTCCCTGCTGAGCAGAGAGCCCGATGTGGGGCTCGATCCCAGGACCCTGAGATCATGACCTGAGCCGAAGGCAGAGGCTTAACCCACTGAGCCACTCTAAGGCACCCCTTAGAGGCAACATTCTATTTGAGGCAGAGGTGTGATGATGCATCTAAATATGAAAGGTAATAGAGTCATGTTAGCATTTTTGATGCAGGGGGTCATTACCACATGGGCTTCTGAATCTAGATGCAATACTTCAGTAAGTGCAGAACACCCTGAGCAGATCCTGATGAGAAAGACTGGGGAGCAGACTCAACCACGTGAGGAGCTGTGAGGTCCAGGAAAGGACTAGACTGAAGCTGCCGGTGTGAACACTGCCTGAGCTCCACATTCTCCCCCTTTCAGCCTAAGACCATCAGAAAACAAAAAAAGAAAATGGAAAATACAAACAGAAACCCCATTTCCAGCAAGATGAGAGACAGCATCGAAAATATGTGCAAGGACTTCTAAGACCTCCAGTTCACACAGGAGCCAAGGAGGGGGAAGTAGAGGAAGATAAAGGTGAAGGATCCTAGCAGCAGCACATCTCAACGAACAAAAGAAGAGCGGAGTATACATACCTACTGATTTCTTAAAGATGAAGGTCCTATGAAGGGCCAAGCACTCATCTGCAAAGAGGGCTGATGAGCTGGATTTTGTGGCAGTTGCAAAGAAAGGAAAGTCTGTACTCAGTTTCCCTACAACCTCGACTTTGGGGCCATTTCTTTTTGTCAATCACTGACAAATATTTGTTATCTTTCATTTGGGGTGGGGGGTCATTTGTTTGATTGTTTGTTTTAAGTAGACTCTAAGCAGGCGTGAAGCCCAAGGCAGGGCTTTATTTACCTCATGACCCCAAGAGATCAAGACCTGAGCTGAGATCAACAGTTGGACTCTTACTATTAAGTGTCAATTTAATGTTACCATGCCACCCAAGCACCCCTCTCCTTTCAGTCTTAATTGTCATTTATCTTATGACTGAGGCTGACCATCTCTACCTACTTCGTTAATAACAAAAGGAATCCCTATTCCCCAAACAGTTCTGACTGAAGCTTTAATGTTAATAAAGAACTAAAAACCATTTATGGTTTAAATATTCCCAAATTACCTTCTGAGACCTAGAGTATAGATAACGCTTAATTATCCTAGGCTAGTAAAAAGGAGCTAAATCATCAAGAATCCAAATTAGTGGATTCTATTCATGCAAATGTTCCCTGTTTGATACCCAGCTCCATCTTTCCTGATTAAGAGGTGCCAAGAGGTGACTCTGAATTTGAACTCTTACTGAGAAGCTGACATTAAAGGGCTAATTGAAGCAAGTAAGTGCAAAGTTCTCATTTAGCCCACATCCCTAATCCTCTAGTCTTTGTTTTAACTAATAAAACAAAATGGCTGTCAAATTTCAGTCTCTCTCCTCTAGCCATTGCCAGCCTTCACTTTGCAATCCTCCTCCCTACAGACACTGGATAATGGACACTTGTCCCACTACCACTTGGGCTGAAAGCAATTTCCATGGCATGTGTTACAAATGAGCTCGAGCTGATGTTATAAACCACCAAACTACCCTATATCATGTCTTTAGGGAAACTACAGTCTAGGGTTTAAATGGACAGTAGAAAATACTGCATAAAGAACTAGAAATAGCCAGAGCCTCAACACTCAAGCATTCTCACATATGAATGGTCACCATGCAACTTCAACAAACCCTAGACCACTCTGGGTTTTTGTTATGTTCAAAGAGCACTGAGAAGAGTCTTAAAAATACTACAAAAAGAGTCTGCAAATAAACTGCAAAAAGAGGTAAACAGCACTGTTGTCCCTCTTACAGAGGAAGGTTATGTCCTATGTTTTCTTCCATAAGCCCGGGCTAAATATTTCTAATCTCCTTAGTTATTAGAAGGGCGCTGGTTTTCTAAACTAGGAACAAAGTATAAAGTTCTCAGATTCAGACTACAAAACACACAAAACAAAGATTTCCCCTAATCATGAAATACTCTTAAAAAACTTGGGTAATATCCCATGTGTTGTTATGTACATTAAACTCCACTGTTAAGTATCAATACAGGACTTCCTTCTTATTTTACTTTCTTTTTCTGCTGTAAGAAATATGAATCAAGGTGAATTAATTAAGCAGAAACAGAAACTACTATGAATGAGAAATGTGAAGTTGTACTATTATGAATGAGAAAACTGGAGTTGTGAAATATATAATAATAGGAAAAAAAAAACAAAAGTTTTTTTTGTGTGTATGTGTGCCCCAAGTGAAACAGAGAGAAATGATGCGTCTATGAAGTACAACTGAAAAAGCTCTGGGTAACCACAGCACCAATGTTAGTAGTATTACTGAATTAAATGAGCAGGTAGTACAAAATATAGTTCCTCACTGCAGAATAGAACTAATTCTACTACATTAACAACTAGATTACAGAAGATCAGGTAATCTTTTTTTATTATACCCAATGTAATTATTTTCTCATCTTTACTCTTTTTCGTAAAGATTTTAAGTCATCTCTACACCCCCTGAGCTGGAACTCACAACCTGAGATTAAGAGTTGCAAGCTCCACTGACTGAGCCAGCCAGGCACCCTTTTCATCCCTTACTCTTAAATGTACCTATAGTTGAGGCATTTATTTAAAACAAAACAAAACAAAACAACAACAACAAAAAAACCCTAAAGCTAAGGCATTCATAGAAAAAGCATTTTTCCTGTGAAAAATCTGAAGTTTCAGAAAAATATGTACACGTGAACTTGGACCCAGAGGCCAAGGGAAGAAAAGAAATCAGGTCAAGCCTGAGCTTGCCAACTTAAACCACAAACAGAAACAGCCTTTGCAGAAATGGTATGATGCTATCTCTGGGCCCCTGCTGTTCTGCATCTAAGCAAAATATGATGATGAGTAACTGTGGGGCAGGTCCTTGGAGTTTTTACAAGCAAGGAAAACATTTTGAAGACCACAAGGAATGTGAAGGCCTGTCAGTCCAAAAGCGTAAGCTTTCCCTCTGAAATCACCTGAGCAGGTAAGCCAGGGGAAAGGTATTATATTAGGCGGCCACAGAAAACATTCCTTTGAGTGTCTGGCTACCAACGTAAGTAAAGAAAAAGAAAACCAACTGGACATTTTCCTTTTCCTACCTCTTCTAGCCGACGCCTCTGTTCTTTCTGTTGCTCAATCCGTTTCTGCCTCTCTGCCAGCAGCTGCCTTTTATATTCTTCTTGCTCCCGGAGCTGTTGCTCCTGCAGTAACTGCTGTCTCCGAAGAGCCTCAGAACGTTCCTTGTTCTCCTGCTGCAGTCTCAAGAAATCCCGCCGAAGCGTTGACTCACCAGGCACGTTGACGATGGAGCTAGAGGAGGAGGCAGGGCTTTCAGGGGTGCGCACAGATCACTCTGCCTCCAAGTGAGATTGGGGCCTCAGTGTCCTATTCTAGTCATCCTCCTAATGAGTTCCTCCCACTCTGAGGCTCAACTAATAAATCCATGGGAATAACTGTATCTACAGTTCAATAGTATTACATCTTTTATCCATTTCACAAATATCTTCAAACCCCATCCTGGATACTTGAAAGACATCTCTACTTAGGATTCTCATATCAACTCAAACTCTGTAAAAGGAAAAGTTGGAAATCCCCTTCTTCAACTTCATGAGTAGAAGTGGAACCACCTTCCTCTCTGACCACCTTACTTCTCACCAAGTCTTACCACATATGCCCTCCCACTGCCTGCTTCCTGAATAAGCGGCTGAACCCAAGTGGGTTCCAAGAATGAGCCATTGCACAGATAAACAGCATCATCGCTAGCTGATCTCATCGCTGAGAGCCACTGCTCCACTTTCACTACCTAGAATAACATGGCAAATCAATCTCCTTCAACAGCCTCTTTCCTTGTATCATGCTCCCACCCAAAACAATTACACCGCTCAAGAAATCAGTTCAAATTACTCCAAAATATTAAGTCTCAAATTTAGATTCAAATATTCTACTATGTAAGCAGAAAAACATATAGGGTTTTAACAATACGTTTTCTTATCTCTTCATATGCTCTCTCCAAACTCCCACTGCCTATACATAGGTCTCCACAGGTCTTTCAACATACCCTCCCAGGCTCCTTTTGTTCAATGAGTCAAGTTACGTGTAGCTGAAAGCATGAAGGACTGGCAGGCAAAACCATACTAAAATTTTAAAACCTCCCTGGATAATTAGTTACTGTAAGATTCATACTACCAAACCTTCAACCTTCTGCTTCACTGTACCTTGGGGGAAGCCACAGATATCCAAACCATAGACTATAAGATTAATCAGGACAGAATATACATAGGCAAAAGAAATGAACTGCTGATAACCACACTTGTGGGAAGAACAAAACCAAACCAAACAACATTTTGGGAAAGCCTGCCGTGTTTTTCAACAGACGCCCGACTGTCCGGGCAGGACAAGCCTTTGGAGCAGGACTGTTTTATACGCTGCACAGCACATACCATCCATACCATGCCTCCCGGAGCAGCAGTGCCTACAGCAGGCCCCTCCTTCCCAGAACCAAACAGCCCTATGTACTGCCACATGATAGGGGAGGGGAAACAATACAATCTCAGGAAAGCACCACTGGATAAGAGGATCCAGAGGGGGAGAATGTTTAATAGGTAAAAAGAATGAAGATGTTAAGGCACTTTTAAGGTACTTGAAGATTTCTTGAAATCCTGGAGTCGACATGAAACAATTTCTTCATAAAGCAGGAAGTTGAACAGTGAGTTCATTTAAAATGATAAAGTGAGTTCAATTACAATGATAAATTGAGGTTTTATCATTACCTTGGCTCTCCTTCCTGTTCAGGCACTTCCTCCTCTTCTTCCTCACTCCCACTGTACTCATACTCGGTTTCATCTACAAAGAAAGGGGCAAGATAAATGGGAGAGTTCACAAATCATGACACATGCATGTATAGGCAAGCATCTCCAAGAGTGTAACAGCAGAAAACAAACAATATGTCCTTTAGGGAAAATAATGTGTACAGAGAACCAGGAGGTAGGAGGAGCGTGACAACCAATTCCACATTCAGTAAACAGCGGCATTCCCTGGGCTACCCTTACTTTGCATGGAAGAGCAGATTCCACTGCATTGAAGACCACTCCTTACGGGATGCACTGGAGGGGGTACAGGGCGGTGAGAAGGGCTCTCAAGCTCTGGACACATAAGAAAAGCGGCCCCAAAACATCAGCAAATTCGGAAAGGACCCTTGATGCCAAAATGCGAAAGAAAGAGACTTAACAGCCCAAACTAAGGCAACTAGGAGATGTCATTTTGTTATTGTTGGCACTTAGGGAGCTACCAAAAGAGGGAGAAAGTTCTGCAGGACTGACCATGGGTGAAGCACAGGAGACACTCAAAGCATAAAGATACAAAATCAAATGTTCCCACAAGTTACAAAGATGAAGCCAGGGAAAAACAGATGCAGAAACAATACAGCAAAAGCAGGAAAGAAAAGTTGCTCTCCTTTCACCAGATTAAGTCCAAGTTCCAACATGAGTAACCTGTTTTCACTTCAACAGGTTTTATGCCATTTTCCCCAAAGTAACAGTCCATTTTATTAGACCCTGTACCTAACGTCACTACCTAACTTTGAGGGAGCATTACACTCCAGAGAGCAATCAAAACTAGAAAGGCTGAAGAGATCTACAAAATAAAGCAATTCACAAAACACACGTCCAACTTTTTTCAGAGATATGAAGTTGAAAGTCAGTGTCCTGGTAAGAAAAACAAGTCTGAGAACTTAAAATGGGGTTCAGTCTATATCATATATAATTGTAGATTAATATACCTACAACTTCAGCAGTCGCCATCTATGACATTAGTTCTTTTCATTGCTAGACAATCAAAACTATGTAATTTTAAAGAAGATTAAAATAGGCTAGCTTCCAAAGGAAATTCCAACCTAAATAATCTTTGGACTCCTTCAAATAGTACTCTGTTACGTTTAAAATTTTGTACTATGAACTATTCCTTTTTGACACGAGGATGAGGGTATTTGAAAGGTAAATGAAAGCCAACGGGGAAAAAGGCCACTGTAACTTGAAAACTAAAAAATGAAGATAAAGTGCTCCACTGTTCCGACCTGCAAATGTGCACGAGTCTCCAGGCTGAGCACCTGGTAAACACTTGGCACACAGCAAATATTCCCGGACTCTGAACTATCATTAAGAAAATACATACTGGGAAAATTATCCAATGTAAAAATAATTTTTCCCTAAGAAAAAGCTTTACTTTCAAACTTTAGTTCACTTGTTGTAACTACACAGCTTAACATACAAAGCTTAATTACTTTTACAAGTGAGTACATCAGAGGGCCAGAAAGTTGTGAGCGTCACTGATAATTTAGCTCTGAAGACTGAAATGAACATGTAAAAGCTCAGTACGGGCCTCCAAAGGGGCTGTGAACAACTCTTTTATCGCCTCGAACTTGCACTTTATTTAGTTTCTTCTTTGATCTTGAAGTTTGAATATCAAGAAATACTCATTATCATGATGCCAGGTATTTAAATGTTGTTCTAGAAAGTTATGGTAAGAACTCACAAAACACAAAGATCACCATGACTCGAGGCAACAGGGAGGGCTGGAAAGACGGGGATGAAGCCTGACCGTACCTTGCCGGACAGAGGGGAACATAGGGCACTCCAGGCAGGTGGGCACAGAACATGTAAAGATACAAAACCAAGATACTGGGAACAGAAAGGGACGTTAAATGATTGACATAAGGGAGTGTCTGTGTTATGCCGTAATGAGGAAAAAGTAGTCAGGCTGGACCACGCCACCTGCAGAGTTAAGCAGTAAGAAACCCAGGGGGTTCTTGAGCAGTAGAGAAATGAGTGAGCACACCGATGTGGACATTCACAGCTGATGCTCAGTAACCCCTGAGTGATGCACTCAGAACACAAACACCCTTAAGGAAGTAAAAAGAGCAGCACGAAGACCTGCTCCTGAGGGGGAACAAGAGAAACAGCCTCCCATGCTGACCAGCCACAGCACTGTCTGTCTGGTGTCTGCCTGGCGACACACCATGCAGTTCTGGTCAGCTCGACCTGAGCCAGGCTGGCCTGGAGGCTCATGACTGACCTGCAGAGCAGACACAAGCTACTCCAGCCCTGGCAAAGAAAGCACACACTCCTGGGTGGAAAGGGAGAAACCTATTCTAGTGGCAAAAACCTAAAATACTATGTTTTCAAAATGAAAATAAAAAACAGGCCAATACCTTTCTCTCCTCTCTTCTTTCTGGTCCGGTCTATATGGTCCTTAAGCTGGATTCTAACTTGCCTTTCGTTTGGCTGATCCCTTATAAAAGGATGTTTCAAAAGCTGCTCTGTGGAGGGTCGCTGCATGTAATTCTTCACCAGGCACCCTTCTATAAAACTAAAAAATTTCTTTGACCTGTAGGAGGAAGTAAAAAGGATCATCAAATTTCTACTGCAAAGAGCACGACTCCATAATATGAGTGAATAATTAGTCTGAAAACATATAAGAGATTCAGAATTCACTGTGAACATTCTCCAAATGCACAGGATAGTATTAGGAACTTGGGACAACGGTGGATACGAAGCATCATTTAAGCATGGTTGAAGAGTTATGCCACATCACGACAATAAATCATCAACAGAGAGCTTTGAAGGAAGTCAGATTTAAACAAACTGGGTTTAAATGTAAGGTTGCTTATTAGTCACTGAATTATTCACTTATTGTTGCTTATTAACCACTGAGAAGGCAAGGGGGTGAAGGGAGGCTTTCGTGAAAATGAAGGCAGACAGAGACAGCAGATGCCCGACAAGGATGGACACAGAGATAAGGAGTCAGGTAAGGGACCAAAGGCTGGGGCTCTTGGACCTGTTAATATGACATTTCGATCAGTTTCCAACTGATTTATCTATCAATTCTCTATGCTTAAAGTACAGATGTAGAAATACATAATAGTTGTGAAGAGGGGAAGGACTTTGTCCTCTACATTCTCCCTACCAGCTGCTTCTACTTCTGACCGTTCCTCCACGCCTGCCTCCTGATAACCCCCATCCCTAGCCGAGGCTGAGACACTCACCCATCCTATCTTCTAAGATTCAAGTCAGGCATCGTCTCTTTGAGTGGGGCTTTCCCGGCACCCCCAAATTAGGAATCCTTCCCCTAAGGTGTCTGCATTTAATAGACTGCACACATCATGTTTATCCTTCTGTCTCCTCTGCTGAGGTACAGGTCAGGAACTGGTTCCGATTTTTTGATTTGTCAGCAATGCCCAACACTGAGCATGGGCAGACCACAAGAGGTATGCAATAAATTTTTGTTGAATGAATGACTTGTTCAGTCTTTTAAAAACGTGATTTAGAAAATCAGTTCTTTCCAATTACTTCACTGCTTTTAAGAATCACTTCTACTGTCTTGTATTTCCACTCAAACTTACCATTTTTTTCAATTCAACAAATATTTATATATCAACAATTTACATTTGTTTATGCTAGGCTTTATAAGAAATACACATAGGAAATAAAATGGAGGAAATATATGTACACTTAACAACAGATGTGTAATAAAACTTCCAGAGGAAGAAAGAAAAGAACTACTGCTACGGAAGGTTAGTTATCAAGAAAAAGCAGGATAGCTGATATTCTAGAGATGGGAGAGAGAAGCCATCATTCCAAAACAAAAGGAAAAAACATAACAAAGGTAGAAAAGTACAAGAAAGTAATGAATTGTTTTCTGATGCTAGTATGAAAAGTAGAAAAGAACAGAAAAATAGGTCAGGGTCAGCTCCGAGAAGGGCCCTCAAAGTCACTCAAAGTCGCGACTTTATCCTGTGGTGATTGAGAATCTTGTAGTGGACCTGTTTTAACACAGAGATTCCTCAATTCCATTGCTCACAAAGACCACTTGAGGAGTTTATCAGAAATATAAATACCTGAGTCATTTCTTCAACCTACAAACCAGAAACACTTCGAGGCTGAAACCCTAAATTAAAAGATTCCAAAGGGATTCTCACCTACCATGTCTACAAATTAGCATTTGGGAATCAATGATCTACAATATATTCTTTAAAACCAATTGTCAAAACCATAAGTGACTCTTAAACTGAGGGTTGATGGGGGGAGGGGGGTTGGGGGGGGTTATGGACATTGGGGAGGGTATGTGCTATGGTGAGTGCTGTGAAGTGTGTAAACCTGGCGATTCACAGACCTGTACCCCTGGGGATAAAAATATATTATATGTTAATAAAAAATAAAAATAAATAAATAAAGTACAATTTTTACAAAACAAAACAAAAAAACAATTGTCAAGTTCTGCTGGGAGAGTGTTTGCGGACACTTCTCCAAAACCAGCAGCAGCAATGTACACTGGTGGACAGGAAGACAGCAATCAGAAAGGAGGAAGAACATTATGTGTGCAATCATCTCATCCTTTTAGAATATTTGGGTAAAATGACAGCAATGACGTAAATAGATGAAAATGCATCTAAGTTTAGAGAAAGTTTTGTGTAAGAACACAGAAAGAATCTGTCATCTACATCTGTCTCTTTACATCACTGTATTATACACACAGTGGTTAATCTCAAACTGCAAGTAATGGACAGAATAATCAAGAGTGCGGCCAGCTGAAACACTTGTGAATTCACGTACTCTGAAGACAGAGCATAAACTCCATTTTTTTAAATAAGAGCACTGCTTCGTTTAGTTGGATAGTGCCACTCCAGCCCCACAGCTTACTCCTTGGTGATGCCCACTATACACATTTGGTTTCCCTAGAGTTGGCCATCATAGATGTCCAGAGTTATCAAGTTTCAATACAAGAGGCCAGTTAGGGTTAAATTGGCAAACATACTGCCTTAGAGAACTCTCTAAAACCTGGTAAGTGGAACTAGATAAGCTCAGTTATCTGGAGCAGAATGTGGTTAAAGACAGTATAAAAAAGAATGAGAAAAGTCCTGCCAGCAAACAAAAGGTGGGGAGAGACAATGAGGAATAGGGAGAAGTGTGAGAGAAACAAGAGTAAAAATACGCATGTGCTTATAATGCCCAGAGAGGAAAAGAGAACTACAGGACATCAGAAGATGAGCAACCAAGAGAAGAGCAGATAGGAAGAGCTAAAAGACCAATTCCAGAAGAGAAGAAGGCTTGAAATTGAGATCTTCTGCATATTTCACAATTAGAGTCAAGAACCCAAGAGAAGACCTCACTCACTGGAAAAACCAGTGAGAACAGTTTCAGAAGGGGAATAACAACCATGGTAGTGGGTGTGGCACTAGTAAGATAGATGAGCCCAGGAAAACAGAAAGGAAAGGGGAGAGGGCCCACGGGCATGAGGAGCTGGAGCGGAGACAGAAGTGAGAGGACAGCACTCGGAAAAAGTTCAAGAGGAAACAAGAAGCAAAATTCTCAGGTGAAAACAGAGCACTATCCTTTCCCTTAACACTTTTTAAAACTAAACCAAATCAACAGTTCCCCTACCACCACAATTCTTGATGTTTTTGCCGAGGAGGGTCACCATCATTGCCCTTCACTGATAAGCGACTTTTTTTGAGCAAACATGTGAGGGCTGCACGGAGAAAGGTGTCAGCCCAAAGACAGGACCATTCCTTTCATTTCTGGAATGAAAAAAGATGCACCTAATTTCAGTGTTTTACAACAATTACAGTAAATGTCTCCATTAACATTCAAATCCTATTTCACCTGAGGAGCGGCAAAGTCAATACAGCTTTACTTTTGAACGTGAAAATGCTTAGAAATGTATTATACTTACAAGAGGGCTTAAATATTAAAATGAAACTTTTTTCTTTAACCATGTCACAGTGTTTCCTATGATCACTTGTTACTATTTTGTAATTAAAAGAGAATTTATCAAGAAAAAAAATTTTTAAAAAGACACTTTTTAACTGGAGTTTCAGGGCACTTGTTACATTCTTTGGGAACTGGAATGCCTAGAATTTTGTCTTGGAATGAAACTGAAAAGGAACAATTTTTTGTAAAAAGGAAAGAGCAACAACAACAACAAAGCATACATAGCTTACCATTTTTTTGACTTCAGCCTGGGAGGAGGGTTTCTGGGAATGAGAAACAGTGCTCTCATTGGATGCATGTCACAGAGAGCTGGGGAGAGGAGACGGTGGCGTCAGTATGGTACTTATTTTACTCACTTGTAATTTCTAGGGCTCACTCAAAATATCAAATGTGCTGTCCCATCACCTGACAATCTTTATGTCAAGCAGTCTAGACATTCAGCTATGAGCCCTAGGGCATACCCTGAGTTCCCCATTTAAACACAGAAAAATATCGGGAGGTCAAGAGCAACAAGAAGAATATACAATTTCAAATTGACATTGAAGTTTTCGTAAATCAAAGATAAATACAGATTCACAGTCTTAAGGGAGTGAACAGCTTAAGTTTCTAAATCATCTATAAGACTGCAATGAAAATAATTTTATTATCATGGAGTCGTGGTGAGGATTACATCAGGCAAGGCTTGTAAAGGCATTCATACAGTGCCTAGACAGGGTGAGTGGCAGTAAAGACCTCCCGCAATGTTAACTGTTCGTTCGTTGTCATTCTAGGAAGGAGCAAAGACGAGAGAATAAAACAGACTATTAGATTCCGTGCAAGTACCGTTTGTACTTCCACCACTTGTCCAATAAAGCTATGTTCGGGGCATATGCACATATTAACATGTCACAATAGGTAATGCGCATTTTTGTGTGCTTATTTACCTTCATGAGAATCTTACAAGGCAGCTGGGAAATGGGGACCAAAGAAGACAATCTATTCCCACTGTGAAAGAAAACTGAAACAAAGGATCTGGCAATGAGCCCCTGCCTCAATTCCTCAGACGGAAACATGAGGAAACATATGTTGGTCAAGACTGACATCCATTTCTTGTACTGCAAACTAATTTTTAGGCATTGGAGATTTTTTTCATTCATTCAACAAATATTTATTCAGCAGCAACTATCCAGCAGACAAGTATACATTCTTTGTATACCCCTTTTCTTAAGGGGACAGCAAATAACGCTGTTTTGTCTCTGTTCTCTGAAGTTTTATACCGTCTCTGCTCAAAAATCAATTTTAAGAAGCTGGCATTCAGTTAATCCAAAGGAGAAGGAAATTTCACAAGCAACCAAAAAAACAAAACAAAACAAAAAACCCACAATAAACCCAGACCTTATTCTACAGATAAAAAGTTATGCCTCTGTAAAGTCAAATATAAGTATTACTAAAATTTCATGTGTTAGGACCAGTTACACGTTCTAGGATTTAGTTTCACTGAAGTTTAAATTGTAACATGAAAATTACTGCCTATTATCTAATGTCATCATAATTTCATGTCATACACCTGAATACAACTTAAACAGATAAAATGTAACCTACAGACTTCAAGGATCTTCAAAAGGAATAGTGGATGCCAAGAATCATTTTACATCTAAAACTTCACTGTTTTTATGCTTCCTTCATCTGAATGTCCCACCAGGAATGGCTTTACCCATGAAACCATTCTGTTTGAAGCCTTGAAACTAGGTTTAAGTCACATACAACAACTGGGCTAAAAAGGAAAGAACGTTACTTACGGGGAGCACCTTCTGCCATCTCAATGGCTGTAATGCCACAAGACCAAAGGTCACTCTGCAAAAATAAAACAGTATGTTACAGGTACCAGATTAGACATGAAACCACTAACTTACCACGGCTGGTTACTCACACAAATGATACAAAGGCATTTCTGAAAAGAAGTCTGCCATGAAATTAAAAGCAAACACATATGTAAGAAAAACTTCCAAATGAATGAATGAATGAATGAATGAATGAATGAAAAAACAAAGGTGAAATTGGTTTGCTAATTAGAACCACTCACATCTATGACTGAAGTAGAGGTGGCCTGTAGAAAAGCTGCTCTGTGTCACTGCATACTCTGTTGCTCAGTATGTTTCATTTCTTTTTTTTTTTTTTAAGATTTTATTTATTTATTTGACAGAGATCACAAGTAGGCAGAGAGGCAGGCAGAGAGAGGAGGAAGCAGGCTCCCCGCTGAGCAGGGAGCCCGATGCGGGGCTCGATCCCAGGACCCTGGGATGATGACCCGAGCCGAGGGCAGAGGCTTTAACCCACTGAGCCACCCAAGCGCCCCAGTATGTTTCATTTCTTTACATTCAGTAACTTAGACTCCTGGGCCAGATTTATGTTTAATTTTATGTTTTATGCCACTATCTCAAATTTAATTAAGATGTTAAAATTTTAAAGGCTAACCTGAAACTAATATAACACTATATGTTAATTATACTTGAAATAAAATTTTTTTTGAACTGTAAAGGCTAGAAAGCACTCTTCTATAAAAGGTTCAACAGCTGAATTAATAAAATCTACTGGAGTTCACTAATTTGACTCACACTGTCGATGAGCCTCTCCACTCCCCACTCAAACTTTAATAATGGGTAATCAATAAGCTGCCTTTCTGTGCATGGAATCTCTTCCAAGTCCCCGGAAATATTAATTTTAAAACTTGAATTTTAATTTTACTCCCCACTCAAATACAAGTTCCATGAGGGCAGGCACTTTTTTTTTTTTTTAATGTATAATGTATTATTTCTCCCAAGGTACACGTCTATGAATCATCAGGCACATTTCACAGCACTCACCATAGCACATACCCTCCCCAATGTCCATAACCCAGCCACCCTGTCCCTACCCCCCACCCCCTAGAAACCCTCAGTTTGTTTCCTGAGATTATGAGTCTCTTATGGTTTGTCTCCTCCTGATTCCATCTTATTTCATTTTATCCTTTCCTACCCCCCACAATGCCCCCCTGCCCTGCCTCTCAAATTCCTCATATCAGAGAAATCATATGACAATTGTCTTTCTCTGATTGACTTATTTCTTAGCATAATACTCTCTAGCTGCAAATGGCAAGATTTCGATTTTTTGATGGCTACATAGTATTCCATTGTATAAATGTACCACCTCTTCTTTATCCATTCATCTGTTGATAGACATCTAGGTTCTTTCCATAGTTCGGCTATTGTGGACATTGCTGCTATAAGCATCCAGGTGTACATGCCCCTTCAGATCACTACATTTGTATCTTTAGGGTAAATACCCAGTAGTGCAATTCCTGGGTCATAGGGTAGCCTTATTTTCAACTTTTTGAGGGACCTCCATACTATTCTTCAGAGTGGCTGCACTAGTTTGCATTCCCACCAACAGTGTAGGGGGGTTCCCCTTTTTCGGCATCCTTGCCAACGCCTGTCGTTTCCTGACTTGTTTATTTTAGCCATTCTGACTGATGTGAGGTGATATCTCACTGTGGTTTTGATTTATATTTCCTTGATGCCGAGTGATGTGGAGCACTTTTTCATATGGCTGTTGGCCATCTGGATGTCTTCTTTGCTAAAATGTCTCTTCATGTCTTCTTCCCATTTCTTGATTGGATTATTTGTTCTTTGGGTTTTGAGTTTGAGAAGTTCATTATAAATTTTGGATACTAGTCCTTTATCTGTTATGTTATTTGCAAATAACTTCTCCCATTCTGTCAGTTGTCTTTTGGTTTTGTTGACTGTTTCCTTTGCTGTGCAAAAGCTTTTGATCTTGATGAAGTTCCAATAGTTCATTTTTGCCCTTGCTTCCCTTGACTTTGGCAATGTTTCTAGGAAGAAGTTGCTGTGGCTGAGGTCAAAGAGGTGGCTGCCTGTGTTCTCCTCAAGGATTCTGGTGGATTTCTGTCTCACACTGAGGTCTTTCATCCATTTTGAGTCTATTTTTGTGTGTGATATAAAGAAATGGTCCATCTTCATTCTTCTGCTTGTGGCTGCCCAATTTTCCAAACACCATTTGTTGTAGAGACTATCTTTTTTCCATTGGACATTCTTTCCTGCTTTGTTAAAGATTAGTTGACCATAGAGTTGAGGGTCTAATTCTGGGCTCTCTATTCTGTTTCATTGATTTTTGTGTCTGTTTTTGTGCCAGTACCATACTGTCTTGATGATGACAGCATTGTAATAGAGCTTGAAGTCTGGAATTGTGATGCTGCCAGCTTGGTTTTCTTTTTCAACATTCCTCTGGCTATTCAGGGTCTTTTCTGGTTCCATATAAATTTTAGGATTATTTGTTCCATTTTTTTAAAAAAATCGGTGGTATTTTGATAGGGATTGCATTAAATGTGTAGATTGCTTTAGGTAGCATAGACATTTTCACAATATTTGTTCTTTCAATCCATGAGCATGGGACGTTTTTCCATTTCTTTGTGTCTTCCTCAATTTCTTTCATGAGTACTTTATAGTTTTCTGAGTATAGATTCTTCGCCTCTTTGGTTAGGTTTATTCCTAGGTATCTTATAGTTTTGGGTGCAACTGTAAATGGGATTGACTCCTTAATTTCTCTTTCTTCTGTCTCACTATTGGTATACAGAAATGCAACCGATTTCTGTGCATTGATTTTATATCCTGACACTTTACTGAATTCCTGTATGAGTTCTAGTAGTTTTGGAGTGGAGTCTTTTGGGTTTTCCACATAAAGAATCATATCATCTGCAAAGAGTGAGAGTTTGACTTCTTCTTTGCCAATTCGGATGCCTTTAATTTCTTTTTTTTGTCTGACTGCTGAAGATAGGACTTGTACTACTATATTGAATAGCAGTGGTGAGTGCTCACTTCGGCAGCACATATACTGAAGAGCAGTGGTGATAGTCGACACCCCTGCAGTGTTCCTGACCTTAGGGGAAAAGCTCTCAGTTTTTCCCCATTGAGAATCATATTCGCTGTGGGTTTTTCATAGATGGCTTTGATGATACTGAGGTATGTATGAGGGCAGGCACTTTTGTCTGTTTTATTCACCTTAGTATCCCCAGAATTGTGACTTGCATGTGGTAGGCACTCAATAAACACTGGCTGATGAATGAACTTTTATCAGCTGATTTCTTAAAATCCAAACAAGACTTTTAAAAGCAGACAATGGGGCCACCTGGGTGGTTCAGTGGGTTAAAGCCTCGGCCTTCAGCTCAGGTCATGATCCCAGGGTCCTGGGATCGAGCCCCGCATCAGGCTCTCTGCTCAGCAGGGAGCATGCTTCCTCCTCTCTCTCTGCCTGCTTCTCTGCCTACTTGTGATCTCCGTCTCTCTAGTAAATAAATAAAATCTTTGAAAAAAATAAATAAATAAAAACAGACAATGGGTAGTTATTATCATTCGCATTCTCTTGTTTATATTCTATTCTAAGAAAAGAATTAAAGTTGCTCAGTTTAAGCATTTTCTAAATAACCTATAATTATGTTACACAATTCAAACACATGTTTGATTTTAAGAAGGATAGGCCCACAAATTTCTCCCTTAATTTTATGAGGTTTTCTCTACTACGGGGCACAAAGGAGGGGTTTTACCCAACTTGACCCAGTGACTATCTTATTAGCATCAGTGGTGAGACAGGCAGATGTTCCATGTCTCTTGGTGTGATGCAACACAAACCATACCCCATCTCCCGAGGCAATCCTGCTTTAGGTTTTTCTTGATACTAACTGTATTTCTCCAGTTTATAAGAAACAAGGTAAATGCCTTACAAAGATTATAAAGTTAAAATTCAAAAATGGCAAGACAAATCTGGATGGTGGAATACTGCCTCTTCAACAAGTCAGCATCATGAAAAAAAGGGAGAAGGGTTGGTTAGGCTTGATTAAAAGATATTCTGTGGCCAAACAGCCAAATACAATGCCTTGCCTTATATTAAACACTAGTTTGGATAAGTCAGATACAAACCAGTTGGGTCTAATTATAGGCTCCTTATTAAGAAATTATTTTTTAAAGATTTATTTATTTATTTATGAGACAGAGACAGAGCACAAGCAGGTGAAAGGGCAAAGGGAGAGGGACAAGCAGAATGCCCACTGAGCAGGGAGCCTGATACAGGGATCAATCCCAGGACTCTTGAGATCATGACTTGAGCCAAAATCAGATGCTTAACCAACTGAGCCACCAAAGTGCCCCAAGAAATTATTTTCATTTACTTAAGCATGATAATATTTTGGATATGCTGGAAGATGTTTTCAAATTTTGGAGATAACAAAAATGACATATTCAAGACTGAAAAGTCATATAGTCTATATAATCTATTAATATTATTATAATCTATTAATCTAATACTCCAGCATATGAAACAATAAAATAAAAATTTCACCATACCATATACTTAAAATGAGTTTCATTAATTGGGTATTTGTAATAAATACTAAAATACACAAGAGAGTATAAAGATATGAACCCAAGTTTCAATAACATTAAAAGGAACATAAACACTGCCTCGTTTAATCACGGCAAAACAATTTTTTAAAAAAATAATTTTTGCAAACATATTCAACCCAAATCTGATGATCAAATATGGTTTTACAATGGGATCAAAAAGATGCATTATTGATAGAAATCTCTAGAGGTCACTCTAATAATTTAAATATATTTGTATACCAAATCAAGCTATAAAGCTCTTTAACAATACTCTGAAATTTCACATAGAACAAGTTACTGCTATATATTCTAACAACATTTTTTAAAGTATAATAAATATCTTATTATAATAGATTCTTCAAGTTTAAAAGGATGGCAAACAGGGCAGAGTAATTTACTCATGACAAAAAGTTCTATGCACAAGACAGTGACTTCCACTGCTGTGAAAGCAGTATATTACTTAGTAAGGAAAACAAAGGTGACAGGGAACGAAGAACCATAAGACAGCATCTCATAATGTCCCAGAAAATGTGCACCTGCAACAAGGTTTCCAAGCGTTCCTCACTGAAACAGCAAGAACGGATAAGGGGTATGCAATCTATAAGCAGAGCCCCTATCCCTCAGGAACACTAGGGACCCAATAAAGGCTAAGAAAGCAGGTGCCTCTTACTCTGTAATCGTAGGTGGCATCTGGGTTCTCATCACAGGCGATGACCTCAGGAGCCATCCAGTAAGGGGTGCCTATGAAGGTATTTCTCCTCCCAACCGTCCGGTCGAGCTGAGCACTCACACCGAAATCAACTGTGGGAGGAAGAGAAAGGAAGGAGTAGAACATAATTAACAAACAAGTAAACCACAAGACGAAGAAATGTGAGGAGGAGGTGCCTTCAGTATAAGCTCAAAGAGTTTCATGGACATGTAAATTCCTTAAGGTCACCAGCATCAATAAGGAGTACTGTCTCCAGAGCAATTCTGCCAAAATGACAAAATCTTCTACCAGTCTATAGGCTCCTGGGAGGCCTGGACCCAGCTACTTCCCTGGGCTTCCACGACAGAGACCGCTAGAGGGACTTTTGGATGAATCAGGATGTTCAGTGCTTGCAGGAAACATGCCTGCCACAAACAAGATCAAGTCATAGAAAGCTCTAAGTTCAGGAGAATTGACTAACACCCACGTGACTTAGCTTCTTAAGCAGCACTTAACCACAGAAAGAGAAGAAACCCACAAAGGTTGTCTGGAAAGTACAGAGTAATGAATTCAATAAAGAGAATCAAGCTAAATCACAAATATACTAAGAAACACTCCTCAAAGTACCCAGGATGTCTGATTTTTAGAGTGACCCCCACATCCCACTCAGCTGAACAACGATGGTCATCTAGAGGAAAGTTCAAAGATGAGAGGCAGAGCTGGCAGGAAGACCAGGGTCTCTAACGGAATGTTTGCTGACAGCACTAGGAGGACTGCATGATGGTGGATGAGCTCCTGCAGAAGGGCCTATGGAGGGCTGAGATCACTCACAGGGGCTGGGTTACAGATTCAGCAGGCAGAACATGCTCAGGAAACCACCTGGCCAGGAGGTGGGCTCACATGTCCTGACACAGAGACACATGCACTGGGCAGTACGTGCCATTTGCAGTTACAAGTGATCACCAAGTGATTACAGAAGGACTATCACAGTCCTAGCACCAACAGGCCAGCGCAGGGAACACACACAGCTTCCTAAGTCACTAGGAATGAGAACAATTTAAGTGCCTCCTATCTTAGCTTTGAGGGTATTTCCCCAGTGGGCACACTATTCCTCCACAGATGACCAAGAAATGGAGGTACTATGCAAGAAAGCAATAATGAAGATTCTGTTTATAAACTACTGTGCCTAAGATTTTTGAAAGATAGACTAGATTTTCTTATAACCATAAACAATTTTTTTGTGTGATGCCTTACTGGAAGAAAACTTAAAGCTAATTGTTTAAAAATTTGACAGAACCATTATAAAAAGTGGGATTGAAAAAAAGTTCAAATCCAGGTAAAGGAAACAGGAAATACAGAAGAACCATTACAAAATCATCTCCAGGAAGATACTTTGGACTCCATCCATCCATGCATAAATTTACTGAGCCCCCACTAAATTTAAAGCACTATGCTAGGTGCCAGATAAGAATACTCTTGTAAATAAAACATCCTAATTGCTACACTTCCAGAACTTATATTCTAGGAAATAAGTCAGAAATATACGTAAACAAACAGCTGTATAATTATAAATTGTGATCAGGATGAGTGAGGAAATAAGCGATAGATCAGAAGGTCAGGGCATAGTGATCAGAGCATCAGGGAAGGAAGGCCTCTGAAGATGAGGAAAAAATTGCAACCTCAAAACTGTTCCCAACAGGGAACAGTATGTGCGAAGACCCTATGAGACATTCTAAGGAAGTAAGAAAATGAGTGAACTGGACAGGGAGAGGAGTGAGAATGGTCACAAAATGGGGCTGGAAAGTATTAGGGGCCGTGGCTTTCTATGGGCCATGGTAAGAAATGCAGATTTTATTCCAAGTGAAATATGAAGCCACTAAAGGTATTTAAGGAAGAAAGTGCCATGATCTGATTTAAACATTAGTCTGTCTACTATATGGAGAGCAGAGCAGGGGAGAAGCATGGCAGGGAGGGAGGCTGGATACAGAAAAAGCAGTAAACCCAGTTCCCATTTCTTAAATAGAACAGAAAGAGAAAATCTGAGTAATAGAGCTTTTAGCTAAATGCCAATGAGGTAGGGAGTCGCTGCTGGTTTGCACCAGGGCCAAGTATTACATCATGTGGCACGTGTGTCACATACCAAGTTTCACCTCTGCATTCTCAGTCAGCAATACATTCTGGCCCTTGATGTCCCGGTGAATCACGTGATGGATGTGAAGATGTGCCAGGCCCTGAAGAGGAGAGACAGATCTGAATTTTAGTTCTTTGTTGCTGCAAATAAAGAGCCTAGAACACACTTTTTATAACAAAGCACATGTACAAGCCACAAGTTTTATGAATCACATTTAGAACATACTACAATTCAATTTTTGTGCATTTCCAGGAACACATTACCAATAGTACCACACAAACAGAAAGAAGTACCCACCCCCCAGTTCCAATGGGTTAGGTCCCCTGTGTGAGCAACATGACCAGTTTCTAGCTGCTCCTTGAAGACACACTCTAGATTACCATCTGCAGTTTCTCTGCTGTAATTTGTGCTATTTGTGTACAGGGTGGTTCCTTTCCCACGCTACATGTCCATCTTTCAGTGGGTGACCCCGTGGGTATATTTGAACTAGACCCATCCCAGGGGAAAACAAAGAGCCAGAGTGTGGTTTCAAGTCTGGCTCTTGAACACTGCCTAGTTTTCCCACCACATAGTGACAAATTGCTAACTACTGATCAAGCCCACCTCCACTCCAAGTGTAGAACAATTCTGCCATCAAAAGCTTTATGTTCACATAAAATATCTTTCTTTCCCAAGGAAATAAACCCTACTGGCACAGAGCACTTTCTGATGACCTTGTATCGGGAATGAAGCCCAAGAGCCATGCCTCTTATGAGAGGTGGAAGAAGAACAAAAACACATTTTGCATCCAACTACGAACTGAGACAAAAATGGGTCATTCTCACAACTCCTGCTCTTGTTCTGTCTTTAGCTAGACAAGCCAAATCTACAGCTTGCCTCCTTAAGATACAAACAAGCTATTTATTCTGAAATGTCTCAATTGAAAAAGGCTAGATCAGAGAAGCAAGGGTTTATTTAATTTTCCTGTTTGATTTTTTGTGTGAGGTTTTATTGTTACCATTACTGTGTAGGATACACATTAAATATAACAGCTGCTCTAGAACACTAATTTTTCTAACACAGGGGTTTCTAAACAATAATTTACTAGTCTGCTTATAAAGCAGAATAGAGTATACTTGATGGCTCTGTTTATTTTTCCACCACACAGGATGTGCAGTGTTATACCACAAAGCACTGACTAGGGGAAAAAGCACTAAAAATATATGGTATGTTAGTGCTATAGTTAGGAAGAAAGTCTCTTCTTTCAGCACACCATAACTCTGAACAGCAAAGAAAAAACAAACAAACAAAAAAAGTAGCTTCCCTGATTCTTTCATAATTCCTACTTCTGCTACTTCAGTTCATTTTATATTCTCTAACTTTCCCAAACTCCCTTTTTATATTTTCACAAGATTATCTTAGCAACAAACTTAAGTATCCACATCTTCTCAAACAATGTGGCCTGCACAGACTCTTGTTTCTTGTAAGTGATAAATGTTAAGAAACATTTACTACCTGGTCCTACTGCTGAAGGAGTGCGGTGTCTCCAGGTGAAAAATCACTCAAGGTATGTCTAATACCCTGTAGGCACTGTAAATTTGAGTTATGATTATTCTAAATGAGTACATCTTTCCCTGTATGCAGAGAAAATGTATGTTCAACTACTCTTGTATGCTCAACTCTTCCCATGCCAAAATTAAGCCACAATTATGCCTCCTTAGCAGAGATAGTCCAGATAGAAATGCACACTAAATACCATTCTAGAGCAAATGCATCAATGTTTCAAAGCTAGAAAACATTTTTCCTGTAACACTATCTCATCCAAGGACATGGAGTAAAGGAAAAGTTAAAGGCTGTCCTTCAGTATTGGTTACGAAAAACTGTAAGTACCCATACCCACTATGAATTTCGGTTTCCACTAACACACATCAGTGGCTGTGTAAACTATAAACGTGGAAGAGGCTGGGATGGACACTCTGGCTTGTTGGTAAACCTTTGGTCTCACGGGTTTCAGGGGGAGAGCCCAAGAGAGCTTTCCTACTTATGTCTGAGGCCTACAAGCTCGCGACTCTCAACCTTCTGAGTATCTTAGCATAATAACAGCATGTGAATCTAACACCTACTAAAGAATGAGGACAAGTTTTGCCACTGCAGAAAAGAGCTAACCCACCAATCTCTCTGAGAACCCAGGTTACTCAGTTGGTCTGGCTCTGTCTGTTCCCGCAACAGCTCACCTCCTTCTTACCATACTGCTTTCTCTTTACCAAAGTAGATTCTCAGCAACTCCAGTGAAAAACACACACTAGCATGTGACACACCGACTCTTCCAGAGCCTTGTTTGGTTTTAGTTCACTTAGACTTTTGTAGTAGGAAAAAATCCCATTCTAGATGAAATGTAAATGAAGGAAACACTTGTTTCGGGTGCCACCAAGGTGAAAAATATTTGCTATACCTCAAAATGATGTCCATTAAGCTCTTATATTCAGGCCAGTCAGGGGCTTCAAACAACCTGGGCATCTTTTGAAATGATGCCTGAGATCAATGAAAGTAAAATAACTACATATGTCTATTACAAGATAGGTAAACAATGCTTGCCTGTATATATAAAAACATGTAAATTATCTTCGATGTCTGAAATACATTTGATGCCTAGGACATTTATACTAAAATCTAGTTCTTTGCTTAAGAAATCCCACACTATGGGCGCCTGGGTGGCTCAGTCAGTGAAGTATCTGCCTTCGGCTCAGGTCATGATCCCAGAGTCCTGGGATTGAGCCCTCCATCAGGCTCTCTGCTCAGCGGGAAGCCTGCTTCTCTCTCTCCCACTGTCTCTCTTTCTGTCAGATAAATAAAATCTTAAAAAAAAAAAAAAAAAAAAAGAAAGAAAGAAAGAAAAAGAAAAAGAAATCCCACACTGGAATTATATATAGAAAAGGTATGTGTAAGTATATGTTTATAACGGAAAATAATTACAACTAATATTTACTGACAATCAGTTATATACCCACATGTTACATTAAATGATTCATATATACCAACTCATTTAATTCTCATTACAATGTTATTTCCTTCACAGGACCGGTATCTAAATTTTACAGAAGAAAGTAAATCCTGAATGGGGAATAACTTTGCCAGGGGTACGCAATAGGTAAGTAGCAAAGGCAGGACTCAAACCCACGTTTGACTCACTCTAACCGCTGTTCTCTCCTGCCGACCATGCCAAGAGCTTTAGTTGTTAACATAATAAATACATCTGCCCACTTGCTGAACTCCTTCACAGTAATGCAGGGCAGGATACTTATTTTTCCACTTTTAGACTCTGCCTGCTAATAATAACCATAAAAGATAGGTCCCACATGTTTTAATAATGAAATCAGAGACTGATCACAAAAAGAAGGTTCTCCCACCGCATCCCCTACAACTGATTTTCTAAAGGGAATTGCTTGTTTTTTCAAGGGCTTCATAAAATATCTAAATAAAAAGAATTAAAACACAACTCTCTAAATTCTTTTTTTTAAACTGGCAGTCCTCTATGAAATTTAAATATAAAAGTAGGATAAATTTGCCTATAAGTAAAAAAAGATAACCAGTTTTTTTAATTAGTGAGAGAAGCCTAAGAATTAGATTCCAGTTTAATTCCACAGTATTTATTTTTTAAATGTGGTGGGTAAATGAAATCCAACCAAGTAATCTGAATGTGTAATTAAGGGGTAAAGTAGACAGAAAAACTGGGACAGCTGGCCAAAGGAAAAGAGGCCCACTGGTAACTCACATGCACTTTTCAAATGCAAAATATAGAGACCCTTTGCCTATAGTGTCTGCGTTATCTCTATTACTGAAAGCAATCATTTAGAATCTGCTAAAACAGTAGTTCAGAAACTTTAACCTCATAAACCAGCTTTCCAATTGGCTGAAAACATTAAACAGTAGAACTTTTCCTTGTAAATACTGCAACAGAATCTAGCAGTTAATGCCAAAGTCCACAAGATGATTTTGAAAGCCAGCATTTGACATCATTAATATTGATTCATAAGCTTAGACAAAGGATTCCTATAAAAACAATAGTTAGAGACTATTTCTCTTCACTTGATTTTCTTTTTAACACCTGGAGGGTAAATAGGGAAATGCAGAAAAACTATTTTTGTTTAAGTTACTTTCTTTAGATACTTGTCACAATCAAAACCATGATGCAGCTTCAATAATCAAAGCCAGCAAATCAAAGACAGAGCCCTTGACTGTCATGAAAAGAACAATCTATACAGTTATAACTAATGCAAAGAAATATTTCGGGCTAGGAAAATGAAAATGGAAACACAACACGGTGCATGGGACACCACAGACACACCCTTCTTCTTACCCTTAGGATTTCTCTGGAGATGTAAGCTATCCAGTCTTCCTTGAGTGTGTTCCCTTTGGTGTTCTTCACAAGGTCTGTAATGGACCCAGCCCCACAGAACTCCATAACAAGCTACAGGGCAGAAAAGACACATGGTGACTAGCACACCCCAGCAACCAGTGAGAGCATCACCACAATCTGCACACACTGGACATTCATCAGAAACGCAAAGTCTAACTCTTTGTGTCTTTCCTAAAGATCTGGGTACATGATCAGTTTGGAAGCATCCAAATTACTGAGAGCCCATTTCACCATCGAATTTATTCACTGTGTATATTTGGTCCAGGAGATTAAGGGTTTTTGACATTTTACAGCACATCTCCCAGTGCAGAGATTGTGAAATATTCCTCCTCACTCCCAAGGACACGGGCATGGGAGGACCATTTTGTCCTTAATTAGTACCCAATTATGAGAAATCTGACAGAGATACTCTAAGATCTTTTCTCATTTGCTAGCATCCAGATATCCTCTTTCATTCACGATTCTCAAACTATTTTATATTAAATATTTGTATTAATTATTTATATTTATATTATATAACTATTTTATATTTATTAATAAATATTAATAAATATATATTTTATATATTTGTATACATATTTTATATATTAAAATATATTTTATAATATATTAATTATATTTTATATTTAATTTATATTAAAATGCGATTTTAAGCAGCGCATAATTTTAAAAATACTTTATTTACAATACCTAAATGTTTATATAAAATCAACACAAGTAGGTGTTTTAAATATCCAGAAAATGAACTGAATTGAGCTACTCTAAAATTTTAACTTTGACTGGATTTGGGCAATGAAGATAAAGGTTAAAATTAAGGCAAAATATTGCAAATTTCTTATAATGGCTTTAAAAAATTAGAAAAAATATTTATCTTCCTGCTTTATAAGTCCAGTACCCTTGGTATAACTAATGTGATAACCACAGCTCTAACAGCATCTCAGTGTCATCATCTTCAGTATAGATGTGACTAAGAGAGAAGATTGAATGTATATTAATTCTAGAAATTTCCCTGGAATTTACTGTTTTCAATTAACTGTTATCATTAATATTATTAACACTGATATGTTTGTCCCTTACTTCCAGGTAGTAAAGAAGATGCATTTATTTGTGCTTCCATATTAATTTCCATAAATAAAGTATTGATTTTTCAAGCTCCTAATTTCCTTGCTATTTGGTTATATTCCTTTTAAAACATGCCATTTTATTCCTGAAACAAAGTTAACTCTTATCCATGCAATGTGAAATCAACATAAAAATCAACATACAGTATACCTTTAACCAAGAAGGCTAAGGAAGATAATAAGCACTATGCCCTTTGTCTTTGCTCTTCTCTCCACCCCCCTCCCACCCTGGAAGGTCCTTAATGTCTTTTGAGTACCACCAAAGAGAAAACCCCTCAAAATGCTTGGGAAACATTTGCCTACCCAGAGTTGGTCATCATGTCCTGGAGGGCTCTTTTTAATGAAAGCACCGTAATAGGTTGCAATATTTCTATGATGAGAATATTTCTTCAACATATTTATCTCCAGTTTGATTTCTTCCTCTTCATCCTTAGAAAAAAATAAAAAATAAAATGTGTGGCTTTTGAATGTCAAGCATGATTTTAACTTCCCCACCCATGGGCAATAATACAAGTTCCCAATCCCTGCAGCAAAGGAGGAAGATACATTCACTTTATCCTGAAAACAAGAATTGGGGACTTTAACAGGACTCATTCTTTGAAATGCCTTTAGAAGTTATGCAAGAAGTACAGAAGTACAAAAGTTACAGATATACATAAGAAGCAGATGTAGCAGCTTTCCACAAACTATGATACCTGAACCTCAATTTGCTCATCTGGAAAAATGGGAGGAAAAAGAGAACTGACTGATACTATTTTGACTAATTAAAAGGAAAGGCTGTTTCTTTTCTAAAAAATATTTGTGAATAAAAATCATCTGGCACAGCTATGGCACAGAAGGTTCACCTGTGACAACCTTGCACAAGAACATTACCTTCTGGTGTGGCCACAGTCAGATTACTGCATACAGACCAGCCCCGCAGGCCCAGGATGGATGGTATGCTTAATGAGATCCTTTACCCCAAAGAGAGATTCAGGAGAGTCCAGCGACCCATAGTAATACAACATCACTCAGTGATAGCAGGTTGTTTTAGACTTGGCTCATCCCACAGCCTCCTGCTTTATTAAAGTTAAGATGAGCAGAAGAAGAAATAAAGAGTTTGTGTGAGAAGATCAGAAGGGAGATGAAAGAACAGATGTTGACACAGGTCTGGAAAATAAAAATAAGTTGCCCTTGTGAATGGGGAGGGCTGCCAGTCTCAGCCTTTCTCTCTCATATACCCCTGGGGCAGAACCTTCAACAGCATGGTTGTTGCAGACACATGACACAGCAAGGGCTCTGCCACACGACCTGCAGAGTTCATAAGTAAGATTTATGGCTAGCATGAGAACCAGGGGAAAGCAAAGTTAAAGTGATGAAGAGGAGAGAAGGTGGAAGAAAAGAGAAAACCAGCTCTGGCTAGAAAAGCCACGTTTGGGGCGCCTGGGTGGCTCAGTGGGTTGGGGCCTCTGCCTTCGGCTCGGGTCATGGTCCCGGGGTCCTGGGATCGAGCCCCGCATCGGGCTCTCTGCTCAGCGGGAAGCCTGCTTCCCTTCCTCTCTCTCTGCCTGCCTCTCTGCCTGCTGTGATCTCTCTCTGTCAAATAAATAAATAAAAATCTTTAAAAAAAAAAAAGAAAAAAGAAAAAAAAAGAAAAGCCACGTTAAGATAAAAATCTTAAAGACAAAGGTGATAATCAGATCTCCAGAATTCCCTTTACTACATAACTTTTCAAAAGAAAATAATGACTGGTCCCCTACAATGTCCCCACTTCTCCACATTGGCACACTCATTCCACTTATAACTGACGTTCTTCCTTCTCCAGGAAGACTTGGGGTTTCTGAGCAGTCAAGGGACCTGTACGTGTAAGTATAAAAGAAAAAGAGAAGGACCATACATGTGAAAGCTAGTGCATCCATGTGGACTCACACAGGCTGAAGAAACCTAGTCTTGCAGCCTGGCACCTCCAAAAACCATTCATAAGGACTCACAGACCTAAGTAAGTTTGGTTTGAAAATACTGCTGAGATAAAAGCTACAACAGCATTAATTAGATATTAGTGATGAGACTAAATGAAAAAAGAAAAGGTCTTCTTAAAATAGAACTTTCAGCTGTACACTACCACTTTAATACCACATGTAATAAAACATGGAATCATCTTAGAACAGGGATTCGTTCTTAAGATGGTGGCCTCCAGCTTGGTCCCCAGACATAAGCATCAGAATATTACAGCATATTAATAGGTTGTCACGTAACCTTGGCAGATGGTGGCTGCAAATATGAAGCAAAGTAACACAGCCAAATACAGTCTATATAATAGTTTGTATGTACTAATTATCATTCGAACCCTGTATATATGAAAAGACACCACATGGTTATCATTTCAATCTGATTTAAACATGGCCATGTTTAAAGCAGCAATGAAAACTGAGATACTGAATAACTAGGATAACTATCTCAATCCTAAACAAAAGTAGTGTTAAGCCTGACTAACATTACAGAAAACACACTTCTATTTGGGATCTTTCTTCAAAGGAATTTTATACTAAATCATAAAAGAGTGAAATTTTTTTAACATAAGGCACAAGGAAGTACGCCCCAAACATGACTAGAAAGCCCAATTCACCAAAAGCTTTATCTTGTGCTCTTCCCACACATTCCTATCAGGTGCAGTGTATAATGACCACAACTTGCTGGCACACAGCACATGGAGCCTGTTCCCTCCTGAGTCACCACAACTAACCATTCACTCCCAGCAATATCTGGGAGCAGCCCAGGACAACCCTAACAGGACTTGTCAAAACCAACAGATTCCTATCAAAAATTAGCACCTGACTATGGCCATAAACAGGCTCTGGTAGAAAGGCATGTGGTATCACCCCTGGCATAAGGCCTATAGTTAAATATGTTGGGCCCTGAAAAATTAAACACCTCACTTTCCTTCCACTGGACCATGACTAGGTAACTAGAAAGTCAACTAAAGGTTTGATTTTTTCCCCTTTTATCCAAAATCAGTCAACGTACAAATATCTGGGGTATAAAGACTACAGAAAAGCAAGCAAAAAGAACAATGTTGAACTAAAATGGGGGGAAATTAAAATACTGATTTTAATTTTGTACTTGCAGCCAATCATGCCATGAAGTATGTGCATCTTAGTGGGTTACATGACTCTGCTTTACTGATTCATCCCTAACTACTTCCCTCCACTCCTCATATTGCTAAATTATTCCAAGGGTCATAATTCCATTATGCTCTGCAGGTACGTTCCACTTCTTGACAGAAAACAAATGTTAACTACAATTCTCCCATGAGAAGCTTCCTGAGCAATAATTAAGGATCACAACACATTTTGTTTAGTTTTTGTATTTTCTTTCTTTAGCAACACAAACCTATGTCTTCTAGGATCTGATTTGTTCACCATTCTTCCTAAGAATTAAGAGTTTCCAGAGACACTTAATATTTTCAGAGCCCAAGGAGTTGAAATTCTTGAGCATTTCATACATTTAAAAATTGTCAAAGGCTTAAATTCAGTGTTATCCACCGGTGTGAAAGACACTTAATATGCACAATGCTAGGGGCACCTGGGTGGCTCAGTGGGTTAAAGCCTCTGCCTTCGGCTCAGGTCATGATCCCAGGGTCCTGGGATCGAGCCCCACATCGGGCTCTCTGCTCCGCAGGGAGCCTGCTTCCTCCTCTCTCTGCCTGCTTCTCCGCCTACTTGTGATCTCTGTCTGTCAAATAAATAAATAAAATCTTTAAAAAAAAATATGCACAATGCTAGATACTTCTGGCAGATTATCACAGCACAATCTATTTCCTTAAGTCCAAGATGCCACTAGATAGAGACACTAAAGTACTTTATGTAATGAAACTCTGATTCACCATCAACCATAAGACATACATTGTAACATTTTTGAAACTGGGCTACATATTAGAAACAATACTATATAAGAACAACTTAAATACAATCAAGTTTGGCAACTCTTTTTTTAATACAACTGAAACATCCAAGTATGATCCGGAAATATAGTAATCAGATTAACGCCATCTGCCAGAGTACTTCTGAGATTTAAGTAGTCAAATCCTGGAAGCATATGAAACTGAACTACCAAAAATATCAAAAGAAACATACTGTCCTCTCAAATTAGTGTTTTAGGAACTATTTATACATACTTTGAACATTCCTTCTCTTGCTTCTATGATTTAAAAATTACTATTACACATTTTATAAAATAAAAGGATATATAGCACCACTAATTTTCATATTCTAATTAAGAGTGCCTGCCTTGGAGGAAAAGCATCAGAAATGAATGCAGAATCTGCCACTGGCTCTGAGCCAACTACAACTGGAATCCTAATTATGACTAATGTATATCATACATGTTATCTTTGGAGTGATAATGAACCAATCACTGAATTCCAATTTCCTTTTGGTCATTAGTTAAAAACAAGTTTGGTGGTCTCATTCAAACATAAATATGTACCCACCACCAGCACCACCACCATACACCCCATTCAGCCTGAGAAAATACAGTAGAAAACAGAGTCAGGGCAGGCTAGAACTGAAATTTAACAACAACAATCCCATATATGAAAGAAAGTGGACAAAACGACATGACCTAAGTTTATATATCCCATCTCTCTAGGCCAAGTCCAAATGACCTGGCCCTTCTTTCTCCTCTTTAGTAGGGCACAATCATATATAGATTAAAACAAAACTAAACTAAACTAAAGGCAACTAGAGAAAGGAGAGGGAACCTTTTGGTAAGAAAGGGAAGGCTCCCTCCTGGTTTTCTCCAATGATGAGGGCAGCTGCTAGGCTCCACTCAGCGATTTAATGCAGCTGATGCCAATTAGCATTTTGGACTCCAACCAGGGGAGCCAACTCTCATAGAAAAGGTCTTTGTTTTCAACTGGAAGAGGACTAGGGAAGGAGTTTTCTGTTGCCTTCCTTGGCCACTTAGAGGATAGAGGAGGGGGAAGCATCTGAATAGTGGTAATTTTCAAAAGCAGCTATGAATTTGTAAATAAGTCATAGGGCAAACCCTGCCCACTCCACCATTTGAGCACAAAGGAGTACATATTATGACTGTATTTTTTAAATTGACTCCTTAAAATGTTTTTTAAACTGTTACCCAAATTCTCTTTCCTTCCACTGATGGCAGTAATGATATGAGGAGAGACAGGCAGACATCAGAAAAGTTAATTGGGAGGAACCCAGGGGATTGGGAAATATTCTGAATAATCATCTTTTTTCCCAGCATAATTCTTTACAGAATTAGATCTACCCATTAATAGTTGGAACAAAAAAGAAAATGTGATTCATTATTCACTCTATCTTTGCCAGTAGAGAGAGGGCTGAGAAAATGAGATACACAAATATCTGTCAGATTTCGCCATCAAAATGTAAAAATGAATATACACTTAGAATGAAAATACTGATTTTAAA